ATGGCCAATAATCATTGTCCTAGTTTTTTGAGCATTTAGACGTAAACAATTTTCAGCTATCCAATTAGTCACGGCCGACATGAGATGTAGATTTGAAAATCGTCAGCATAACAAATATGTTTACTGAACTTTAACACCTGATGAAGATCGTTTAAAAATACAGAGAATAGAAGAGGGCCCAATACACTGCCTTGTGGTACACCACAACCCAGTGGCAGCCAATTTGAGACAGGAACCCCGTTATGGCAAATAGCATGTGATCTACCCGACAAGTAACTGTAGACCCATTTAATAAAAGAATCATCACAATTTAACCCTCGTAATTTGGCAAGTAGCTAGTGAGAGACAGTGTTGAAGGCTTTTGACAGATCAAACTTGACGAGGATCGTCAGCATAGCTGAGTCCACTGCACCACGCGCGTCCTCGAGAAGAGAAAGAAGGGCAGTTTGGGTACTGTGCCCCCGGCGAAAACCTGCCTGATTAGGATCCAGAAGCTTGTTTATTTCCATAAACGTGGATAGCTGTTGGTGTACCAGCCTCTCTACAATCTTCGAAAACTCAGGAAGCTTGGAGATGGGTCTCGTATCAGATGCCGAAGTCATAGATCTAGTTTTAGCGAGTGGTGTCACGTATGATTTTTTCCAAGATTCAGGAAAAGAATCGTCAGTAAAAGATCTATTTATAAGTAAGGAAATGGGTTCAATCAAAGGGTCAATAACTAGGTTCAGCATCTGAGCCGACAATCCATCTGTACCACTAGTTGCAGAATTGACACGGGGTAAGGCACGTCGAATTGCAGTATTAGTAACCGGGTGTAATTTAAATATTAGTAATTGTGCCTTTAACGGAATTTCTAAAACTCTATATAAATCCAAATCTTGTAATGATGGAGCTGATTGAGAATACGATGTATAATGGGCAATCAGTTCATTTGGCGTAAAGGAAAGAATAGGTGAGGGCAAAGTCGACCGTGTAAAACCAACTTTCCGAATCAGTGACCAAGTAGACCTAGCATCAGATGCATTCGCAAATTCACGAGATAGATACTTGTTTTTCGAGGAATCCAGTGCGTTCCTCACATCTCGTCGCTTCTGCCGATAAACATCATAATCAACCGGCAACCTAGTGCGGATAGCACGCTTATACGCAGTGTTACGAAGCTTGATAAGATTCCTTACTTCTAATGTTACCCTAGGCTTATTTGAAGTTCCATCTCGATCCAAACAATCATATGGTTTTATGTGTTCACTCCAACCAAAAAATTTACGCTAAACCAATAAAAATTATAAATATTGGATTATTTAATTCACCAATAAACTTCTTGGCTTATAAAACTTGATGAATTTATAAAGTTGTAAGAATATCATCGCATCTATTGAAGTTAGTTATTTTTCACAAGATATAAATTAAATAAAAGTCTTTTATAAATTGAAATAAAACAAGAAGGTGCATGAAAATTTAAAAATAATAAGAAACTATAATTAAGATTCATAAAATATGGATTTTATTCGTCAAATACTTATATTTACATGGTTCTCATTTATTTTTGTCATACTAGAGTATAAAAATATTTCCTTTTTACAGTCAATACATCTTTGGGCAGACAAAAAATCAACCAAGTATAAAATATCACTTTTTTTTAGACCGACTAGAGGTATAACAGTCTAAATTACATTACAGTAATGTTGCCAATTTTTATACAAAAAATCTCGTCGAGTATTTACATAAACATTTTTTTAAAGATGTTATTCATATGTATATTATCACAGTATGGTGAGAAATTTTAATATCACATTTAGGCAGTACACTACAGTAGATGTAAATCTATCAAAAAACGTTTCTTTTTACTGGAGATAATTTGCTTCTTCGTTGATCTTCAAAAGAACGAGCTCCATACAAGTTGTGGCATCTGCTTTGCTGTCGTGACCACCAACTGAAACATTAAAAATTATGAAATAAGCGATGGAATAAAAAAAAATGTTGTTGCATGATAATATCCAGAGTAATATTTACCGTCGTTTTGAATGATCTTCTGGAGATATTCGGAAGATAGACTTTTCAGTGCCCGTTTGAAAGCTGGTCCGCTTTCGTGTGGGTACATAATACTCGTATCTACTACGGTATTGTGCATCAATTTCAGTGCCTTTAAATCACTTTCGAGACTGTGGCCGATCAGTATAGTCTTGGAGGATAATAGCGCAAGAAGAGACGCCTGCACATCGAGTAACGTCGTCGTCACGTCTTTCATGTCAGATTCGGAAATGCCGGAAAATCTAAAAGAAGAAAAAGATAAATATCGTGACTATTTTTTCCGAGAGATTAATGTGGTAAATGTAGTTAAACAATCACCTGGTGTTATAATCGACGATGGGATTCGAGGGTTTAACGAAAGTTTCATAGACAACTTGGAGTTGTTCGTTGATGACGGTAACCCGCGTCAACTCCAGTCCTTGCGTCGTGAAGCACATTTCACAGTCAAGCGAGTACACCCCTTGTTCCTCGGCACTGACGTCTAAGAAAAAAAAAAAAAAAAAAAAAAAAAAACTCCAATAAATCCACCTGACCTGATAAAAAAAAAAAAAAATGTGAACCTTTATCGACAGTTGCCACGTAGCCGCGGAGGTTGTCCACGTCCACGATACTCGAAACGTGACATGGAGCTTCACAGCATCCGTCGGACCGACTACTTTTATCACAGCACAAGTACTTGCTCTGTCCACTGGTCGTATATTTTTTCGCGTAATGATAAACGCAGTTCTCTCTGTCCACAACAAAGCCGTGCTCATCTACCATGTACGGCTTGCGACAACGAGAGCAGTAACGCTGATTCGGCGCTACAGGAGTCAATTGGCCTCTAGGATACTTCGTGTACAACGCCGCTCGACCCTTAGAAATATAAAAAAAATATAACTTCCTTGTAGCCATCTTAACACAAGTCGATTTTTTTAACTCATACGTAGGGTGCAAAGTTCAACTGTCGCTTCGCGGCAAAGTGCGGCCCGAAAGCGTAAACCGACAGTTGCGCTTTGTGCCCTATATAGGTATATAAGGAAAGTCCTCCCGAGTGAAGTGATTTCCCGGTGCACAATTTCACTTATTGCCGTCGCCGAGGCGACAAAGTACACTATGTGACGTACTCTGGGTCGGGCAATTTAGCGGCCGCGAGCGACCCGTGGGGGCCCGAACTTGCGCGACGTTGACAGAGAGAAGCGTTCTTTGGTCGAGTTGGGCCGCCGCGGGTCGCCCGACCCAGGACAAACCTAACGCACCACAAATAATAATCAAAGGCACTTACTTTTGTACCGTCCGGGTGTGGCACTGGATAGCCGTTGTCCTTCAACTGTTGCTCCGATAAAATCCACTTGGCCAACTTCTGGTACAAGGCGAAGCGGTCAAAATTATCCACACATGGCGCGCCTACAGCGCTGGTGCGCGCGATTTCCACCTCGCAATCCTGGATCTGCTCCATCTCGTTGAACGCGGCCAATTCGAATTTTTGCTCAGCTTCCTTACGTAGTCTGTGCAGCGTCACGAAAACCCGGTTCATGTACGTGTCCATGGTCTGGCACCCCGTCACGCACATCAACTCTTCGTTCATCGCCCTCGTAGCCGCGGCTCCGTGGTCCGAGTGGATCTGGGAGCAGACTTCCAGGATCATGTCCACGTATACCTGGCGCTGATCCAGTGAGAACTCCATCACGAATGTAGTGCAACTTTGGTCAAACTATGTTTGCGGTATGTCTAAAGCAATTTGGAGACGTGTTAGCTTATTGCGTTCACTTTAACTAAAGTGATAAACAGTAAATATAAAATCTAATAAACTGACCTTGGGCTGCACTGGAGTGTGGATCTTGAATATCAAAGCGTGGCACAAAATGCGGCACTGTGCAGGAGTAGCAAGTTAGATGTGTGTACTATTCAAAGGTGGAGAAACGACTGTGGTGCGGACGAGCCGGTGTCCTGCTACCTTCCACATATACACATGATCCATTTGTTATCTATCCCCCTACCAGTGGTGTTTTTGAAAAATAAGCTCATGCGCTTTTCGAGACCCATGTACCTACACATGCATATTTTCACTTTGTCATATTGGAAAATGAAGCGTAAGAGAAAGTTGCGATGGTACGGCACAGGCCACCGCTCCAGAGTCTCCAATGACTCACAAATTTGTCCTCAACGCCGTTTTACTTAAAGATAAACCTACAGTCCTCCACAAATGTTATTTCCTTGATTCCCAATTAACCCCGTGTACGCTACTTATTTATTAGTCAAAAATTTACAACTTTCTTTTCACTGTAGTAGTAGAAAGTAGAGACTTTCAAAGTGCAACACTGTACAAAAAGCGCGCCGCCCAAAAGCGCGAGGACATGATGCTTACGTTGAATTCAAAATATCGGGAACAAAAAATATGAAATATAAACGCTATTGTTGCAGCAAAAAACCATTGTGAGGATTAACAAAGTACGAGATCGATCAGTTATTGGTTTTCTCTTCTTTCCTTTGGTTCTCGATTCGCATACTTACGCACATGTATACGTATATTTATAAATGCATTTTCGCACTCGCACACTCTTTCTTTTTGCCGGTTAGCGGAATATTCGTCAAGAGGGTATATATGACATGTATGGTAGTATTACACAGTCCAGAGTGGAAGTCGTGGTTTTTTCGACGGTTTTGGTCCTATAATTTGAAGAAAAGTGACATAAAGAGCTAATTTTTCGAATCCACATAAATATAGTTAATTTAACTTCAATTGTATTTGTAAAGCGTAAGGAATAATCGATCGGACAACATTTCATTGTAATATTTCACGGTCGCGTCAATCATACCATCGCCCGCTACCCGCGCTGCAGCCGTGATGGCGTGACTGTGCATCTGTGCAAGTCTATATCAGATAAATCCTTTTCCACGAATATGTATATATATATATATATACACATGTATGTGCATATGGCGCGCGTGGCTCGTGTGCATGTATATCAATGTGTCCCTTTACCAAACAAAGGGTGTATGTGTATAGTGCAGTCAGTGCAGACTGCAGACGACCCGTCGATGTGAGCGCAATATTTCAGACGACGCTGTATAAGTTTGAGTTAATGTTAATAATTTTATCATACTATAACATTTTTGGTATTTTTGTTGGTAACTGTTGAGTATAGTCAGTTGCCAGAAAAGTAGCGAATTGTGGTTGTAGTTTACAAAAAACCACCACTCAAAAATGACAGTAATGGATTTTTTTGGCTGTGCCTTACTGGCTTTTGGACCTCCACTGACCATGTTCACCTTCACCATAGCAGTTGAACCTATACGTATTATTATACTAATAGCCAGTACATTTTTCTGGCTCATTTCTTTACTGCTATCATCCATGCTGTGGTACATGATCACACCGCTGCAAAAGTATCTCTGGACTGGAATACTTTATTCTGTGACTCTTCAAGAAATATTTAGGTAGGCCACAGGATTTTTTAATTTATTTATATCGATGTTTGGAAACAAGTCTCGTCATTGTGTATATTTTTACATTTCAGGTATCTCCTTTACACAGTTATGAGAAAAGCAGAAAAGGGCTTGGAAAAAGTCACAACTGCCCATGTATCAGAGAGCAGAGACGTGTTTGCATATGTATGTGGTCTAGGATTTGGTGTAATGAGTGGTGCCTTTGCTTTGGTCAATGTTCTTGCTGATGCTATTGGACCAGGAACAATGGGACTTTACCAGGGCAACGAATACTTTTTCTTGATATCGGCTGCTACAACCTTGTGCTTTATCCTACTTCACACCTTCTGGGGAATAATTTTCTTTTCTGCTTGTGACGAGAAAAACTGGTTCCAAGTTACTTGGGTTGTTACTTCGCACATGTTTGTCTCGTTCATGACAATTCTCAACAGTTATCAACTCTATGCTGCAAGTCTGTTTACCGTTTATACTATACTTTTGGTCAACACTGTTTTTGCTTTCAATGTAGCAGGTGGTAGAGTACAGACTTTGCTTCAGTGTCTTATTAAGAAATGAGGGCAAGAATTTTCTTATTAGTAATTGTGTGCTGCAGTACTAACTTTATCTAAATTATGATTTTTCAATATTACATTTTATTCATAATAAAACACAATCATTATTTAAGCTATAATTAAAACGGAATGAAGTATTACAGTTTTATTGAATATTTTTAGAGTGTTATGTTCAGTCTCATGTATAAAGAAGTTAAATTGAAAATTGAACTGATTATACCATTTTTAAGTATCTATTTTTCAAGTAATATCTCTATTTTTGAGGAGTCTACAAGTTCCCTTACAAAAGACTGGAAACAATTCACAGCTTGGATGGATCGAGCCATTGCTGTAAATTGCTTAGTGTTAATAAAAAATTTTTATCGTGTTTTTCTATGGAAACAAGGCAAAAATTTTTTTACGTGGATTTTTTTTTTTTTTTTTTTTAA